TATATGTAGTTCACATCTGCATTTACACATACATCCAAAAAAATAAAAATAATTAAATTAAGTCCAAGAAAGTTTATTATGTGGATCTGAATTTTATTCATTAAAATTTCTTACAGACTAGTCTAACGTTGTATCGTAACAACATGGAAAAAAACTATGAAGTATTAATTAATTATTTAATTCAAAATGTAGCACGTATTCATTTAAAATACAAGCTTTTAAAACTAGTAAAAGTCAATTGCTAGAACAAGGCAATGTACAATACAGTTCATGCTATTAATGACAAAAAAATATGGAACAATAAAAGATCCTATATCGCACAAGGTACAATGAGAATGGAAGATAAAAAAGTTGAATATCCAGTGATCTACAGCTTGGAGAGCGAGAAACTAGTGGTCCATAGACTTAGAGAGGAAGAAACCAATGGTCTACCGCTTACAAAGGGAGAAACTAATTGGGGAAGAAGAAACCCTAGAAAGTTTTATAGTTATTGAAATAAATTATATCTTTTATTTATAGTAATAATGACTCATGGAAATCCTAATTTAACAAACAAAAATATTTTTTAGTTTTTATTCTAAACTGCTTATTTTATTGTAAAATGCTTGTTACTTTTAAAACAAAATATTCTTCAATGAATAATGAAGTTTTTTTAAAAAAGAAACGTCACTTTTAACAAAAGAAATGTGTCTGAAAAAGGACATAGTAGTGCACACTTAATAAAGGTATCGTATGCGTATTCAAGAGTGTCGACATGCGTGTCAATGTTCGCTAAGTATCGATACATGTTAAATCACCAGACACGTGTGTTTATATTTCACAAATCACATCTCAATCACAATATTTCAAAATCTGTGTCTTAGAAGACTTGTTTTCAAAATTTTCTCTGGATGACCCTTCAAGGTAAATGTGTAACTCCGGACAATTTTGCAAACAGGGCAAGAATTTGCCAAATATATTTCTTATGTGTAAGAATGCAGAAGGTTGCCGCCTATTTTTGCATTGCCCTTGTGCTGTTCATATTTGGATATGGGCCTTTCATTTATTGGGATTCTCTCTTTTGCATCCATCTGAGCTTATTTATATTGTTAATCTTCTTCATAATCTTGGCTTACCTTCTAAAAGCATTCTTATTTGGAAAATCTTTAGAAGTGCAATAGTCTAGCAGATATAGCTTAAGCAGAGTAGAATAACTTTTGATTGGGCTTCTTTGGATATTGTAAGCATCAAAGAGAGAATTTTGCAGAGTCTTTGGGACTAGTTCTAAGTCACTTGTGAAGGGCGTGGAGTAACAAGGACAAACATTTTTATCAATTTAAAATCCTTTGCTTTTTCCTGTGTGCCTAGACATTGAATTTCCTCTTGTTGGATGCCACCTCCTGCGAGCTCTTTTAAATTAAATTTTGATGGCAATTCATTGGTGCAACTAGGGTTGGAGGTGTTCTTAGAGATCACGGAGAGGCAATTGTTTTTTCTTATGCAGGACCTTGTGGTTCCATTACGACTAACCAAGCAGAGATAGTCTCTCTACTTCAAGGAATGGAATTTCTTGTTAGCAAGAAATTTTCGGTATCTATTCTAATCGAAGGAGATTCTATTAATGTCATCAAATGGTGCAGACTGGAACAAAAATCCCTTAGTCTCTTCATAGGTTTTGGGTAAAAATTATGGATATTTGCTCTTCACCTCTGCTACATATTTCATTCTCCCTGGTCTATCGAGAAGCCAATGACTCTGTAGATAAATTAGCCAAGTTTGGTGAATCCTTGCCTTCTTTGTCATTTTTAATGCTTTAATTCCATATATGTAACCAATGATCTCCAAGTAGCCATTCAATAAAAGCTCTTAATATTTGTCAAAAAAAAAAAACAAAAAAACTACAACTATCTTTTCAAACTGGTCCAACATAACCCATGACCTACAACTTATCGCAAGGGTTTATGATTAGTCCATCAAAGTAAGCCAATAAATGAAAAGAGCAAGGTTCTAGGCTAAGGATTATAAATCCCCACCCCAAGGACAAGTCAGGTCCCATAGAACTTATACGCACTATGGCAATGGTGCAGGGATCGTCTCTTCTATATATGTATCTGTCATACCCTGAAGGGCCAATTCCGAAGATGGTTGTCATGTGTATCTGGTGCGAGATGCTTTAATGAGGATTTTGTCTCCTCAAACCCACCATATGCTTTAATGAGGATTTGGCCTTCATCTCCTCAAACCCGCCATCGCATAGTCCCTTAGCCAACCACCATGGGCATATCTTTGACCTCATTAAAGGCTAACCTAATAAGTCCTCCATGGTTTACCCCTGGTCTACAAATCCCTTTCTGCCATGTTTAACGTGAGGCCAATGTAACTCCAGATAGCTTAGCTAAAGATGATGTCTCCTTTTCCTCTTTGTCTATTTTTGATGTTCAAATTTCTACATTGTAATTCTATTATGTTTCAGCCCACCATCAATAAAAGTTTCTAACATTGTCAAAAAACAAAATCCTCCATGATTGTGTCATATGCCGAGGGCTACAAAAACATCACCGCAAGCCTAGTTCATCAAGCCCAGTTGAGTCACGACATCAAAATTGCCTATTTAGTCCCACAAGACCCTAGTCTCACATAAGTTAACATATCCCTGTGCAAAAGTTTTATTATAAGCTCTTATAGGGCTTGTTTGATAACATGAAGTGTGTTTCTAGAAGGTTAGAACTTCGTAATACTGTTCAAGTGTCGGGTTTGATAAAAAAATTGAACTTCAAACAAACCTTCAAGGAACGGTTCAAGTTTCAACCTTGCTTTAAAAAAAAAAGTTCCAACCCAAGGGTTAGCTTAAACTTGGAACTTTTTTCTTATGAACCCACCCCCCCATATATATAATGTATATATTTTATTGTATAATATACAATATAATTTATTGTATAATAAATAATATATTTTATTATATATTATATTTTATTTATACAAGGGTGCGGTTTCTATAAGGTTGTAACCTTAAACAATCCAATTAAGCGCACCTTAAAATTTTATCATAACCTGTAATTTTGTTGTGAAAAATTCTTAGTATTATCTTAAAATCTATTTTCATACCTAATTAAAAAAATTTAAATTTCAAAAAAGGTTAAAATCAAGTAGATCTATAAATATATGAAAAGCTTGAAAATGGACGGTCTAGATAATGTGTTGCAATATGCACTATTTCCAGGATTCAAAAAAAAAAAAATTTATAAATCTTGATCCTGAGATGATTAATTAGACAGCTTTTTCAACATTAAAACAATATTTCCAATAGATTTTGAGGTGCATCTGTGATTCTACATTTTTAGGTTGCAACCTTATATAGACTTTTCCCTTTATATCATAGATATTTATAATATTATATAATAAAAATATATATAATGTATAATATATTATATTACTTTATATAAATAAATATATATATATAATATTATTTTATGTATATTATTTAATAAAAAAAGATAAATAAAATATATAATATAGCGTATTTTATATTTATTTTATTGATATATATTTGTATTATATAATATATATTATATAAAAAAAATTACAAAATACAGTATATCATATATTATAGAGAAATTATCATTAATATACCCATATTTTCAAGAAATTGGAAAAAAACCCCAACTTTCCAAAACCTCACCCATACCCTTTTGCCCCATTTTTATGAAATTTCGGACAAAAATGCCCTTTACGGTAGTCGTTGTACCATAAAAACAATTACGGTATTTTTAATACCGTAATCTAGATTGGTCAATCGATATAACTAAGAAGAAAAAAAAAACCATTACTGTACTTTTACTACCGTAATGGTTTTAAATAACATTACAGTACTAAGAGTACCGCAATGCTCGAAGATTAGTCAATCAATACAATTAAGAAAAAAAAAAGAAGCCATTACCGTACTTTTAGTACCGTAATGGTTTTAAATATTATTATGGTACTAAGAGTACCGTAGTGCTTCAAGATTGGTCAATCGATATAATTAAGAGAAAAAAAAAAAACATTACCGCACTTTTAGTACCGTAATGGTTTTAAATAACATTAAACGTACCGTAATGCTCTAAGATGAGAAAAAAAAAAACCATCAGTACCGTAATGGTTTTAAATAACATTACGAGACTAAGAGTACCATAATGATCGGTACTCTTAGTACCATAATGTGTTTTAAGACCATTACGGTCACAAAAAGACCGTAATCGTCCATAGTCAGCTGGAACTTGTGACCATAATGGTCTTAAAACACATTACGGTACTAAGAGTACCATAATAGCCCAAGATTAGGATGAATCGATAATTTAAAAAAAAAAAACCATTACAGTGCTTTTAGTACCATTACGAAAATGGGGCAAAAGGTTGTGAGTGAAGTTTTAGAAAGTTGGGAGTTTTTTTCTAATTTCTTAAAAATACGGGTATATTAACGATAATTTTCCTATATTATAATATGTTATAAATATTATATATTTAAATTTAAATTATTATCAATGTAAATATAAATATAAGATATTTACCATATAACCCAAGAGTTATCAAACTATCAAACACAAAAACTATGAACTTCTTAACTTCCTAGGGAAGTTATAAAGTAACTTCTAATTTACAATTCTGAAAGAACTTCCAACTTACAGTTCATGAACTTGCTTCTAGTTATCAAACAGGCCCATAAGGTTAAATGGACGCATAACCCAACAACTATGACTCCGGATCTCTATATTTGAGAACATTCAAACAGTTTAGCAAAAAGTATTCTAGAACTTTCAGCTATCAACGATTCCAGGTTCCAAGAATCTAGAACTTCCAAGTTCCAATAAATTCCAATTACCAAACACGCCTTAGGATCATCTAGCTTCTTTGTCGAGATAAAGTTCAGGCAGCAGCTCTCATAGATTTGTAATAAAGAATAAAGGATGTGGAATACTTCTTTCTTTCAAGGAAAAATAATAACAATAAAGTACACCAATTAAAATAGTAGAAAACCAAAAAAAGGGGCCAACGAGGGAAACCATTAATAAATCATACATATGAATTATAAAGGTTTCATGCATGTTTGTCCGATAATATAACATCATCATTTTAACATTTTTCTCAATTAATTGGGATCCGATAATATAACATACAACATATAAAACGCTTTTTGAACTAAGAGCTTAGTTTCATCATGAGTCAGTCAACTTTCTTTTCCTTTTGTGACTTCCCAAACGCATCGCCACTATAAGGGGCAACATGGTAAGCGTATTGTTGGATAACCGCAAACACAACCATTTCCAAACACACCAACACGTTTTGCAAAGCTTCCTGAATGTGCTCCACATCCAACCAGAAATGATGTGACTTTATGACCCCGGCAGCTACTAATATGTCAAGCAAGACTCCCTGCCATCAATAAGATAAGGCACGTCGGCGCCACTTCAGTCACGAGTGCCAAGCTATGTGTGCGTACATATGAATATGGATGTGTATAGGCATGCATGTGCTAAATACACATTTTGTTTGTCGAATGTAGTGTGTGTGTTGTTTCTTGGTCTATGCGTGTGTGTGCGTTGATAAATTAAGATAGAAATTAGAAGACAAGAAAAATAAAGACACTTAACAACCTTGTAAAGGAACCTAACTGCTTCAAGCTGAAACTAGCCACTTCTGCCGACTGGTTCAACCCAGTCCAGTAATCAAGTTGTGAAAAAAAAGCCAGGTTTTTTGATAAGTAAAAACATCTTCACATCTCATTAAGCACATTGGTCAAATTAGTTGGAAAAGTAAACTCTGCGAGTTTTAGGGCTAGTTCGATAAAATCAGGTTAAGGCATCTAGTTTTACACGAGTGGTTTAGATTAAAAAACACTGGCAGTTCCATATATCATTCCATGCGGTAACTTCCAGATGGGCAGATAGAAAAATGGTGCAGGTCATGCAGCTTTTTCCTTTCGATAATTTATGGAAAATGTTCTATGTTAGGACATGGACATTTTAACCGCACACCCCTGCTGGACCTTCTTAGTGAAATAAATGTATTTGTCTCAGTCGCATTGGTCCCATAACTTGAAATATGCTAAATTAGCATCCAAGACAGAATGCTGAAAATAAGCCGTATGGAAAGTTGGCATACACAGACCTTGTAAGTGTGAGGTATGCAGATAGAGCACCACCATCCACTCTCACTGACAAGAAGTTGAGATTAACTATACTTGTCAATTATAGACATTCAATTATTGTTAAGCTGCACCATCCATATCAGATAATGGAAAGTGGAGGCCTCAATTTTGTACCATAAACCAGGCACTTGCTGTGTATTGAACACTTTCCCACAAGCCTTATAAACCAAACTGATACATACATGGGAATAAGAATTTTTACCTGCCAAAAGCAAAAGAAGACGATCCCTTTGATGCACAAGAACTTTGAGAGAGGCTTGTGCGGAGCTAGCTCTTTCCCAAAAACATGGTAAAATGCCACTAGGGAATAGAGAGCCAAGGAGACAGAGATGTTTAGTATAATTGATATGGCCCAACTAATCCAACCAGTGTAAAGCCCAAGAACTTGAAAGAGTATCATCAGAAAAGAGAAGATGGGGCGGATGATGACAAACTGCCATGTCCAATACTTGAGGAGCTTCAATGTGTGATGATCTAGGCGGACTGTACGGGGCTGTCAAATAGAAAAAGCAAAAAAGCATTTATCAGAAGACCAATTTCCTAGTATGTTTTCGATGTTATATTTTACTCCAGGAAGTATATACTATAATTAGATAGAGCACCGTATTCAGTACTCCGTATGAGCATCTCCCAACAGTGGAGGCTTACCACTATGGGGCCCAATGGGACATCCACGCAGGTACAGTTAATTTCTAATATGCCCCATTTGATCATGCAATACTCCCCTTTTCTCCATAAAGGTACTTCAACTCAACAGTTAGTTGCATGTGATGGCTCCAGTTAGCATTTCAAGTAGCAAGCAAGTCAGCACTAAGAAAAAAAATTGCACAAGCAAGGAATCACACAAATGCTTTGGTTTCTTGGCATGTTACCTTCAACCCAATTTGGTTGAATTTTTGGAAGAGGATTCACACAAGTAGTTAACATGGATCCACCTTGGTGCTTAGCCGATTCAAGTAGAGTTAATAAATAGGGGAAAAAAATCCCTCTCCATAATTATAATCCCAAATAAACTCTTGGAAAGCCCATAGACTCCCTCCAAGTAAAAAGAAAAAGACGTTTAAATATTATTGTACCTTTTTCATTGTCCAAATTATAATATTTATTCCCTAATAATCTTGTCATCCAACTGCCCATTTTTCTCTATCTTCTTCGCCGCCAAAACCCGTTCCTTCCTCCCCCTCTTTCTCTCTCTCTAAACCTCCCTTAAACGCCCTTTTCTATCTCATCTTGTGAACCTCACGAGTAGGTTAAAAGAGGCATCCCAAATTCCATTTATATAGTGAGATTATTGGGAAAAAGAAAAAGGGTAAATGGTGTAACTTGGACAATGAAAAAAGTCAGGAGGGGGTTAAACTTCATTTCTCATTTAACTTGAAGGGGGTCCATGGGTTTTCCATAGATTTGAATTACAATTATAGAGAGGGAGCATATGTTTTTGTCCTTAATAAAAATGTGTAGTAAAAAGATGATAGTTAATGGGTGAACCCCCATAGCCTCGTGACTCAGAGCATTTACTCTTGCAGCCGTGAGTTTGTGCCACAAGCTTAACAATCAAATCAGAAAATGATGTAAAACAGAGCAATAGTAATGCATGAAGGATAGGTTTTATGCTTACACTGTGGTGGTTCTTTAGTATTGGACATGTTGCCTAAATGCAAATGCTTGTGAGTAGTTAGAAAGAAGCATGCCACACTAAAAACCCAATGATTGGGGACAAGACAAACAACTCCAGCCAATTAAGTCCATCTACCAATGGGAAAAACTTGGAACTTAGAGCATAATAATGCAAAATTTAGGAATATAAATATTTTCTTCAAGATGAACTGGCTGTCAAAATCAACTAAATCATCTGGCTCAACCATAATTGAATAAATATCCCATACTAAAATGTTTCCCTACAGAATTGAATCAACTATACATAAGTTTTTGAATTTAGAAAAACCCAATGGATCCCAATTTACCCATACCTTTCTAGGAAGTGTTTTTCGAAGTCACTAATACAATTCAAGAACTTCAAATCCCAACCTCTCTCCAAAAGAACAAGAAAACTTGTATTGTCAAGGATGATGTTTTACCTGAAAAAGAGTCATTGGGAATGAGTGGTGGATCTCTCTTCCCTTTATCTCATCTGGCACTCTGTTCTGACTAATTGATATGTTCAAATAACTATACATTAAAGCCAAGAACTTGGCGATAACCTGCAGTAAGGTGTATAGACACAAAAAAAATAAACAAGTGGACTAGATTTAGAAGGAAAGCAATAAACCACCTAAAGCAAGTGATCAATCATTTGGTTAACTTATTTTATAACAAGAGTAAGCTGTTGTACAATAGGAGAAATTACCAAGGCCTCATAGCATTCTTTAACAGCATCCAAGAACATGAAGAAAGGTTTGCTCCCCTGAATATCTACCAAGCCAACAAAGGAATTAATCGCATAAATAGGGGCCATAAGTATGATGATGATTATGGCCTTTTGCTCCTTTGGGTTTTTCCAATAGAAGAGGTGCTGAGAGAGTAACTGGACAGTGAAATGCATTGTTAGCATCACACAGCATGCTGCCCCTAGCAAAGTCAGGGTCCTTGGATCCAACTTTGAAAGACTTTCAAAATCCATCCTAGAAGTTGAACGACTCCTTTAAAGCCTGAGAAGACCCACAATGAGGATGTAACCTTTTTTTTGATACATACATATATATATATATATATATATATATATATATAGGTAAGTATATAGT